TAACGGGGATAAGGCTCATCTACCACCGCACTCACCTTGATGGTATCCAGCGGATGCATCAGACAAGTCGACAATCCCGACGCCAGCCCGCCCGCCAGCGCAGATTTGATCACGCTGCCAGCTGGCGCTGATGTGGCGGCGGGCGGCGCCATGGGGACCATAGTGGCTGCATCGTACCACACCATGCTGTGTGGTTGGAGGGGAGGAGGCGGGGGGTGGTGTGGGAGGGGGAGAAGGGGGAATGGGAAGGGGATTGGAGATTGGGGAAGGGATACGGAGGTGAGGGACTAGTCCAATGCCATGGGGACCATAGTGGCCACATCGTACCACACCATGCTGGCGATTCGGAAGAAAGGGGGGGGGGGAGAGGGCGGAGGAGGGGGATGGGGGGAGGAGGTGGGAGAAAAGCGAGGCGCGATGGGGACCATGGGGAATCCATCGGACCTCACCATCCAGTGGTTGGAATTGCGAAAGGGCGGAGGGGGGGGGGAGGGGTGAGGGGGGGTTAAGAGATTGGGGAGATGTGGGGATGTGGGGGAATAGCGTGGTGCTAAGGGGAGGGATGGTGGCCACATCGCACCACGCCATGCTGTGTGGCTAAGATGAGACGGGATGGGATGGGATGGGATGGGATGGGATGGGATGGGATGGGATGGGATGGGATGGGATGGGATGGGATGGGATGGGATGGGATGGGATGGGATGGGATGGGATGGGATGAGACGGGATGGGATGGGATGGGATGGGATGGGATGGGGATGGGGAAGTTAGGATTGGGGAACGTGGGAGGGTGGGGGGGTAGCCTAGAGCGCCGGGGACATGGTGGCTGCACTGCTGGCGATTCGGGGTGGCGGGGGAGGGAGAGGGGGTGGTTGGCTGAGGAAGGGGGGGGGGGGGGGGGGGGTGGTTTGAGGGAGAGTGGTGGGGAATTCAGGCACGGTCATGGGGCGAGGGAGAGGAGGGCGAAAAGGGGGAGACGCCGCAAAACATGATGGTATGCTCCTAGCCAGACAGCTCGTAACAAGCTGCAATGTGGGGAGAGTGAGGGACACAAGGAACTTTTGAGCCGACTCAACAGACAGCTCGTAACAAGCTGTGATGTGGGGAGGGTGAGGGACACAACGACGACCGTTCCAGAAGGAGGGAGAGTCTGCTCCGTACCAGGCTGCCTATTACAGCACCTATGCGCTGCGTACTACCAGACCTTCCTTCCTCCAGCCCTGACCCTCTCCTCACTAGAGCTCACTCCCCTGCAGCCGTTTGGGCGGCAGCCGCAGCGCAGCAGCAGCAGCAACCTTCAACCCCTAACCGACCAATCATCTTCTCCCTCACCACCACCCTCCACAGTCCACCCTTCATCTTCTTTCCTGGAATCTCTGCCCTGCCCTGCAGAAGTTCAGGCGGCGGCGGCGGAACCAGCAGCAGAAGCAGCAGCAACAACAGCAGCCTTTTATCTCTTCCCCTCCTCTTTCTTCCTCTCTCGTTTTGAGGCGCCTCAAAACTAGACCTCTCTCGCCTCACCTGGGGTCGCTCCCTTGCAGCCGCTCAGGCGGCAGCAGCAGCAGGAAGTTGCGGAAGTCCCCATAGGTGACGTGGCCCGACTCGTCCGCGTCTAGAAAGCGCATCATGGCGCGCACGTTGCTCTCCGTGGCTGGTAGGCCGGCCTTTTCCAGTGAAGCGAATACCTGGTGGGAAGAAAGGGCGCGGGGGAGGAGGGGGTGAGGTGCGAGGGGGGAGGGAGGGAAGCGCGTCAGGCCCTCCCGTTGCCCTCCGTGGCTGGAGCTGCTCCCAATGAACGGCGCAACATGCAGTGTGCAGTGCCCAGTGCCCGCTCACCTGCGCTTTATGCAGAGCTCCAGAGTACCCCACGCAGAGCCAAGTGGACGCCAAGTGGACGCCGTCAGCACAGCAGGCTCCTTCACCTCCGTGAGCCACTGCAACTCCTCCCATCCAAACCACTCTACACTCGTGGCGTCCCTGGCTGGGAGGCTGCAGACTCACCTGTCCTTTCTGCACCGTTCCTGACGACCCCGCGCAGACCCAAGTAAAGGCCCTCAGCCTGGCGGGCTCCTTGGCCTCCATAAACGACTGGACCTCCTCCCACCCGAACGACGCCGCCAGCCAGCGCCGCCTCAGGCGCCTGTATCAAGAGCCCTCGGCTCACCTGTCCCTTTTGCAGCGTCCCGGAGGAGCCAACACAGAGCGAGGTGAAGGCCCTCAGCATGGCGGGTTCTTTCGCCTCCATGAACGACTGGAACTCCTCCCACCCAAATGACGCCGCCAGCCAGTGCCGCCTCAGGCGCCGCAGCAGCGGCCGCGCGTGCGCCACGGGCAGGCGCCGCCGCTTGAGCGCCCTCTCCAGGTCCTCCAGGCGCACCTGCCCGTCGCCGTCCGTGTCCAGCTCTGCGAACAGGCGGCGGCCTGCAAGGGAGGCGGGGAGGGAGAGAACGGGGAAAGGAACGGTTGACACCGGCAGGTGGCGCCACTAGAGCGCCCTCTCTCCAGATCCTCCGGGCGAGCCTGCCCGTCGCCGCCCCTGCCCAGCTCTGAGAAGAGCCGGCGGCCTGCAAGGGGTAGGGGTGAGGGATGTGAGAGGGAAGGTGGTGGGTGGGGTGCGGGGGAATGGTGTGGGGTAATGGTTGCATATAGGCCGTAAACGCCGCCTTGACGCCCTCTTGATGTCCTCCAGGCGCACCTGCCCACCGCCGTCCGTGTCCAGCTCTGCTTTTACTACAGCAGCAAGCACCACGGGTGACAGGTCAAGCAAGTGTTTGATTTGCCTGGAGCGTTCTTTACTGCTTTCTCCCAGACGCGTTAGAGTAAGCTCGCGTTGAGCCCTTCCCTCTTCTCGAAGGGCCCCAAGGCGCCACACTGAACACACTCACCGCCGGAAACCGCATACTTACCGCCGGAAACCACATTCTAAGGAGGGAAAAATAGCGTTCTTGGTAGGCCCCGGTGTCCTCATTTTAGGGGTCATTCTTCGTGGACACTTAGAACTTTTCTTAGCGTCTATTTGTATTTGATTTCAGTAAAAAAAAATTCTAGAAAGGAGATCACTTCACTCACCCTCCCAACCTCACCTTCCGAATGCACGACAGCCTCCGCTTGTTGGCCTACCAGAATTAGGGCTGATTACCCTGTCATATTTATTGTCCCAAAACAACAAGACCTAAATAAAAGCACTCACCTTCCGACTCCGCGTATTGGAAAAAGTCCTGCACGGACGACAGCTTCTGCTTGTTCGGGTACCGCCGCGACCCGCGCGATACGCGCGCGCCCTCCGCCCACCCGCCGGGGCCCCCGCGCGCCTTGCTCCACTGCTGGATCTCCTCCAGGAGCTCCCGAAACGGCACGTGCGACAGCGTGTGCTGCACACGCGCCTCCAGCGCCGGCCGAAGCTTCTCGATTTCCGGACGAAGCTTCGTCAGGTCGGGAAGGTTCGGCGGAAGCTCCACCCGCCATCCCGAAAGTTTCGACCACTTCAGGCCGACTGGACGCGCTCCCAGACCCGGGCTCGGATCCTTCGGCGAACCTGCCTCGACGGTGATGACGCCATCAGGCGTGGCGGGGGTGGGGTCGGCGGCCGGCACTAAGAGAAGGCGCTGCCGCGGTAGCAGGATCAGCGCCCTAGAGCCCGACGCGGAAGGCGCCGGGTCTGGCTTAGCGGCTTCCCCTAGGGAGGCGGAGGGGGAGGCGGAGCCGGAGGCGGGGGAGGAGGCGGGGGAAGCAGCGGAGGAGGCGGAAGACGAGCTCCCGGGGATAGGGAGAGCGGCGAAGGGATTGGAAAAACGCGGTGGTTGCAGCATTTTCGCGAATGGGGGATGCTGATGCGCTGTGGTGGCGGGGGGCACGACAGCTGACGGGGAAGAAGCCGAAGGAGAAGGAGAAGAGGCCGAAGGGGAGGGCGACGAAGAAGCAGCAGCTGAAGAGGAAGGGGAGGACGAAGCGGCAGCCATGGAATAGGAGCGAAGGGGATCGCCCTGTATCCTTGCTAGCAGCCGCTCTTGCTGCTGCAGCAGCTCCTGTAGCCATGACGGCAGCTGTAGCGGCTGTAGCTGCTGAGGCGAATGAGACGAATGGGGAGCCGTGGTGTTACACTTCCGAGCCGCGCTACAGCCGGCGGCGTTCGCGCGACGACCGGCCGCTACAGCCGCTCCTTGCTTCCCGGCGTCAGCGGCGTCGCCGGCGAAGGGCGGCGGCAAAGGAAGCCGCATTTTCTGTTTTTACGACGACGAGCTTAGCCCACGCTCTACGCGTCAAATCCCAGTCAGCCTCTCTCCCACGGGTGCTCTAGTCGCAGAAGCAATGCGGCCCTTACGACCTACATGGGCCAAGCGCACGGGACTAGCCGACGGACTTACTTCTAGCTGCTATGGCTGCAACACGGCAACCCGATCGGCCTGACGCAGCTGCTCTGCGCTACACCCTATCTGCGCTCGACTCGACAAACCTGTCAGGCAGACCTCTTCTCTCGCCTGTCGGATTTGTTTGAGCGGTGTGGATGTGGAATATTCTCGCTGTGCTCTTCCTGCATACAGTTCGAGCAGTTCGTTGCACTGGGCTGGGCTGAAGTGAAGTGATGTGAAGACGACTCGGCGCGGCAGCGTGCGTGTGTGGTGGAACACAAGCAGCAATCCAGGATGAACTCGAGGAGAGTACTAGTGCCACAATCGAATGACACTTATCGCGGTTGAACTGACGGCTTGGCACGATCGAATGACGTGTCTGCTCATCTGATTCCGGGCTGTTCAATTTGCCACGCAGGATGGCACGCTTGGCGGCTCAGACCATGGCAGCTTCCTTTGGGTGGCACGCGCTGCTCTGCTGACTAGGATGTCACGAAGCTTATGTTTCATAGAATTATATAATTAAACATCTCTTTCTCTTCATCCGTTGTAGTCTAGTCGGTTAGGATATTCGGCTCTCACCCGAAAGACCCGGGTTCAAATCCCGGCAACGGAAATTTTGCACCGAAAGGATTTTTTCCCCCCTCCTGCCCTTTCCCGTTTGTTTCTGTTCTGGCCCTTCACCACTAACAACGAAGGGCATCGCCACGTGCCCTTCATGCCGCCCGTTCGCTTTACTCCTCCCTCGAACATTTCACGGGCTCCAGCGTCGCGCGTCGCGCGTTGCGCGGCGTCATGGCGACGATGGAAGTCTTCTTGCCCTTCTTCACTCACTGCTCGTCCTCCTAGCCGCAGGTGCTATGCACGGTAGGCCTGTCCCCCTGCAGCCCCTTGCGCCCCCTGCGGCATCCTGCAGCATGGCCTCGCAGTGCCCCTTTCCTTGCTCCACATGGCTCGACCGCTTTCATCCGCACGCTCCATCAGGTAGTGCGTTAGAACTGCACGATAGTGCGCTGGTCGCAACGGATCCCGAACGTCTCGACTGCCATTTCGAATCTGAACAAAAACTGCGGATCGCGTCTCTCCGTCTCTCCGATTCCATTGTCAGCGTTAACTCTCTCCCCGAGCCATGCCTGGGCCTGTAAGCTACCTACTTATTGACACGCTATTCGCGTCCGTACTCTTGCTCCCCATCGTTTGCTCCCCATCGTTTGCTCTCATTCCCCCTCCTTCCTCGCTGATCCTGACTCGCTTGCTCGTCTCGAATCCTCCCCGCCTCACCATCACTTCCCTCACCACCTGTCTCGCCACCTCGATTTCTCCGCAGCGATCCGAGCGCGAGGCACGCCGAGGCTCGGCGGAGGCTCCGGATGCCCTGGAGCGGATCGCGAGCGAGGCTCGGGAGTACCGCGTTCCCGTGCCTGACAACGTGCCTGTGCCTCTGGTTCGGCGTGTCCGGAGCCTGGAGGTTAAACAGGTACGTTAGGAGATGAAACAGGTTTGCGTGGAAATGAACCAGGAACGCTGCTGGTTCATCTCTGCAATGTCTACGTGCTGCTGACTCAGCGTTCGGCTCTGTCTCTGCGACTCCCGTCTGCAGTTCCTATGCGGAGTGCTGGCAGGGGGGGTGGTGGGGGCATGCACGGGCCCCTTGAAGAACCTTCAAACGAGGGTGATTGCACAGAAGGGGGGGCGAACAGCAGCTGAGGTGGCATCCACGGCTGTGCGCAACCGGGCTTTAAGGGACAGCATTCTGTCTGCTGGCCTCAAGATGCCCATCATCATGACAGCTCTGAACAGAGGCATTCAGGTGGGCTTTAAGGGATAGCATTCTCTCTTCTCTGCTTCACAGAGATCCATGCTTATTGATGCAGATTGGTGCATGGATATTGACGCATTTCGGTGCTTAGAATCGCAGGTGTTTGCAGATCAAGCATATCGGTGTACGAGCATGCCGATTCATGCATAACGATGCAGACTCGTGCGTAATCACGCAGATTCATGCATAATCACGCAGATTCATGCATAATCACGCAGATTCATGCATAATCACGCAGATTCATGCATAATCACGCAGATTCATGCCAGTCCGTGCATGTCAGAGCACATGCATAATACTGCTATCTCAACTGGAGGTGCATGCACATCTGTGCAACATGCTCACATATATGCACATCCATACACGTGTATGCATACCTGTATGCATGCATGCACTTGTATGCATGCATGTGTGCGTGCAACCATGAAACCCTATGTGATGCACGCTATTGATGCATGTTCAAGCAGGTCCATGTGTGTAAACATGCATGCCCATCGCACATCCATCCACATCCATCCATATGTATGCACGCTCATGCACATGGGTGTGCAGTCATGCATGCGCAATGTTTATCCAAGCTCAAGTGGCAATCGTCAAGTCACTCACTTCCCCTTCTGATCTCACCTCCATGCATTTCCTCCCAAGACTTCCCCCTGCCCTGGAAAATGCGCATTTGCCCTAGACTATGTCTATTAAAGCGAGGGTCTCAAGAAGCGCGAAACCAAATCCAAAAGGTTTGGTTTTGGGTTGACGAAATTAGCGAAACAGTAACAGCGCCCAACCAGCACCCCTCACCACACCTCGCAATTTTCGAGACCCCCCGAAACCAAAACCTTTGGATTTGGTTTTCTGCTTCTTGAGACCCTCGCTTTAAGCCTCCAATTCACGATGTTTCCTGATCCCCTCAATCAGGAACGATTTCTAATCCCCCCAATTTCTCCCCAACTCTTTCTCCTTCCGTGCATCCTTGCTGTCGTATCCCTCGCCACACCCAATTAAACAGTTTTACACGTTTGAAACCACCAAGGCCTGGCTGTCACGAGCCAATCAGAACCATCCTCGAACTTTTCGGCTGCCCGAGTCTGTACCTCCCAGCTCAGTGGCAGGCGGGGCAGCCGGGCTGGCTGCCACTCTGCTAATGTACCCCTTCTCTGCTGTTAGCGACCACATGAGCTTACAGGTACTACCAGGGGTTAGCAGCATGCAAGCATATGAGGTAGGGAGGTATGGCGGCGACCACATGAGTTCACAGGTACTACCAGGGGTTAGCAGCATGTAAGCATATGAGGTAAGGAGGTATCATGTATGTCGACCACATGAGTTTACAGCTACTTGCACGCAGCAAGTGGCAGGAGGGGCAGCAGGCATGGCTGCCACGTTGCTAGTGTACCCCTTCGCTGCTGTTGGCGACCACATCCGCCTGCAGATATACCTTGGGATTGTGTGTGAGCCTTGGTGTAAGATCAGGTTCTTTTGATACGGGGGGGGCAGCAGCTCTGGCTGCTACCGCTGTCTCTGCTGCTGGGGTAGAGGTCCGCCTGCCACTACCCCTGTGCCCCTTCTCCACCACATGCGCCTGCAGGCTTGCGTATGACCACGCACACAGCCCTGCAGGCTTGCGTATGACCACGCACACAGCCCTGCAGGCTTGCGTATGACCACGCACACAGCCCTGCAGGCTTGCGTATGACCACGCACACAGCCCTGCAGGCTTGCGTATGACCACGCACACAGCCCTGCAGGCTTGCGTATAACCACGCACACAGCCCTGCAGGCTTGCGTGTGAGCACGCACACATCCCTGCAGGTATGCCTGTGAGCACGCACACAGCCCTGCAGGTATGCGTGTGAGCACGCACACAGCCCTGCAGGTATGCGTGTGAGCACGCACACATCCCTGCAAATATGCGTGTGAGCACGCACACAGCCTTGCAGGTATGCGTGTGAGCACGCACACAGCCCTGCAGGTATGCGTGTGAGCACGCACACATCCCTGCAAATATGCGTGTGAGCACGCACACAGCCTTGCAGGTATGCGTGTGAGCACGCACACAGCCCTGCAGGTATGCCTGTGAGCACGCACACAGCCCTGCAGGTATGCGTGTGAGCACGCACACAGCCCTGCAGGTATGCGTGTGAGCACGCACACATCCCTGCAAATATGCGTGTGAGCACGCACACAGCCTTGCAGGTATGCGCGTGAGCATGCACACAGCCCTGCAGGTATGCGTGTGAGCACGCACACATCCCTGCAAATATGCGTGTGACCACACACACAGCCCTGCAGGTAAACCTGCGGGCCTGGCTCCCTCCCACTGATGTAGGTTTACCTGCAGCCCTACAGTTGGTCCCACATCAGTGCAGGGCTGTGTGCGTGTGTGGCAGGTCTGGCTGCCACTTGCTGGGGACCACACGAGCCTGCACGGTAGCATTGTTGTGCAGCAGAGGCAATATCGTCCGAGCAGCAGGCCTGGCTGCCAGTCTGCTGCTCATGTTCGCTCTCGGATTGCTCGTCCCCCTTCCCTCTGCATCTCCCCGGCCGCACCCAGGGAAGTACTCGGGTTTGCTGTGCCAGGCATTGGTGGGCGTGGCACAGCAGCACGGCGCCTCGCAGCTCTTCAGGGGAGTCGGGCCCAAGCTGGGGAGACTTCCTTTCGTTCGCTCCTCTTCACTTCCTCCTCCGTATGCTTTCCGTTCGATCCTCTCCTCAATTCTTCACTTTCCAGCCAGGGAAGTACGCGGGTCTGCGCCATGCCTTGGTGGGCGTCACACAGCAGTATGGGGCCTCGCAGCTCTTCAGGGGAGTCGTCCCCAAGTTGGCGTCCATGGTGCCCGCGTCTGCCATCAACTTCCTCGTCTTCGACTCCCTCAAGGAAGAGATCAAGGTCAGCTGTGCTCTCTCCTCCTTTGGCTTTTACACTCCCACTCCCCGCTCTCTCTTCCGCTGTGCGTCCCCAAGCTGGCATCCATGGTGCCCGCGTCTGCCATCAACTTCCTGGTTTTCGACTCTCTGAAGGAAGAAATCAAGGCCAGCTGCACATGTGTTTGTGCTCTATGCCCTCACAGCACACACTCCCTCTCTTTCCTCCTCTCGTGCCCAAGCTGGTCTCGATGGTGCCCGCCTCTGCCATGAACTTCCTCGTCTTTGACTCCCTCAAGGAGGAGATCAAGGTCAGCTGCACATGTGCTTGTTCCCTATGCCCTCACTACAACACGGACTCCCTCTCGCTCTCCCTCTCCTCCAGCCCAAGCCTCTGCTATCAACTTCCTCGTCTGAAACAGAAGATCCAGAGGGGAGATCCACCCACGTGAGGTGCGCCTTGTTCGTTGTGCCTCTCACATGCTCCATCGCCCATTCACCCTCCCTTGTCTTCCTCTCCTCTTGTCAGGAGAGCTTGGAGGAGCAGCATCCACTCCCTCGTTGCTGTCTCACATCCCTTCAAGCTGACAAGATTTCAAAATAGTAACACTCGTTGCAATGCCCTGTCCCTCTCATATTTCCTATCAAACAGAGGCGGAGAAACGGCAAGGACCCCTCAGCAGCCCACACGCTCGTTGCAGGAGCCCTCGCTGGTGCAACCTCCACTATAATCACACACCCCTTCGAGCTCTGCCGCCGCGAAATCAACATGAGCTTGCTGCCAAAGCATGCCACCCCTACGGGCGGGCACTTGGAATACAACTCCCTGCCGCAGGCAATGAGGGGGATATGGCGGAAGGAGGGGGTGAAGGGGCTGTATAGGGGGGTGCTGCCGAGCCTCATTGAGCTGGTTCCCGCAACAGCGATTGGGTTTCTGGCGTATGAGATGGGGAAGAGAGTGATGGTGGCCGAGGGGCAGGAGGGGAGGGATGAGGTGAAGGGGTGAGAGGTGCGGAGGGGTGAGGGGGTTGTACAGAGGGGTGCTGCTGAGTTTGATTGGGCTGGTTCCGGCCATGGCAATTGGGATTGTGGTGAGTATATGCCTTTTGTCCTTAGAGGGGGATGAAGCTGGTTACCATGATAAACTTCTGATGTGTCTTTGGAAGCGTGGCATTTCATTAACCCCCCAACTCATGGCTGACATGCTCTCACCTCCCTGGGGGTCTAAAAAAATAAAATGGGTGCTAGCTAGGTTGAATTGACTACATGCTTCTTCATTCAATATGTTGACAACATATGTTTGTACTGTATGTGCTTACATTGGATACTTCCTTTCACTCTCCATATCCTATTCCATATCAGCCAGTGAGCACGGGCAGAATGGTTTGCACTAGCTGCAACAAGTTTCACTCACCTTTTATTCGAACCAAGTTAGGGAAGAATACGTGACGTTAGAGGTTTTAAGGTATCTGGAGCGAAATTCTGGTGTTTACAGGTGGTCTAATGCGTATAGAGTGTTCTTTTATAGATAAGTTTTGGAAACAAACTGTATAAGAAACGAACTATAACAATTCCTCAAGTATCTATGCGTCAGATATCAGCGATGAACCCTCTAACGCGAGAGGAAATTCTCGGTCCCACTTCCGTGAATCCCTAAAACCAAACCTTCTGCCTTCTGCCTGACTTCAAAGTTCCACCATCCACCTCGAACCAAGTGTTTAGCATCCTGAAGCCCTCAAGGTTAGTCATTAGCCTCGGCTACAGGTTCGGCATATTATACCGTTGGCCGAAACTCTCGCCCTCTTTCCACACCTATCTATTTTCCCGCCTAGATCATCTCTCGAGCCGCGCTTGGTACTCCCGATTGCGGCGGACCTTGGAGCACCACGCGCCTCCAGGGATTCCCCCCTCGCTGGCACAAATAGCACAGGTGTCCCATTCTGAGTCGTCGCTGCTGAACTGGTGAACCATGCGACACTTTATTCCAGGCGGCGATGTCGCCATGGGCACCGATCGTCGTGGCCCCTCGCGAGCCCACCCCACAGGCGTTTCGAATTCGGCCAGCAGCGGCCATCGGGATTCCCTGCTTGCCTCGCACCCTCTGCCTCCCTCCCACCCCCTCCGTGCCTCTCGTCGCATTCCCGTCGCAGTTTCTGGCTCACACCACAATCTGACCCCTCGTCAGACTTCCTGCAGCCACCAGCCAAACAAGTATAAAAAGACCAGGGGTCTACAGTTTCAGTCACCAGTTTGAGAATCTTGTTGTGGATCCTCACCATCAGCCTTCGAGTTCCTATCACCGTCTGCCCTCAAGGCCTCCGTTACTTGCTGTCTGAACCTGTTCGAGTACTCTATATCGGTCTTCAAATCTTGACTCTAGAACCAGTCCGTCTACCCTACTTCATCCGTCAACGATATGGCCTGCGTCGGTGCTGAGAGTGCCTGCGTGGACGTCGACGCCCTCTTCTCGAATTGCTGGGAGCAAAATGACTCCCTGACTAGCTTCGTCTGCAACTTGATCTCTCTTCCACGCCTGGTAAGAACAGATTCCTACCTTCTCCTTCTCGTTCTTTTTTTACGTCTTAAGCAGAGGCATCCTTTTTATCCTAATTTGACTTCAAATCTCGCAGAATCTTGAACAGGCGCAGTTACACGAACAGAAACTAACGTTGTTTACTTGAAACTTTGCAGGTCGACTTCAAATGGACCAGTTCCAGCAATCAAGTTGCAGCCAAGGCTGCTCCGCTCCTGGTTGAGGCTCCTGCTGATTGTGTGAAGGCCCCTGCTGTCTCGGTTGACGCCCCTGCTGTCTCGGTTGAGGCTCCTGCTGTCTCGGTTGAGGCTCCTGCTGTCTCGGTTGAGGCTCCTGCTGTCTCGGTTGAGGCTCCTGCTGTCTCGGTTGAGGCTCCTGCTGTCTCGGTTGAGGCTCCTGCTGTCTCCGTTGACGCTCTTGCTGTCTCTGTGGTGGCTCCTGCTGTCTCTGTGGTGGCTCCTGCTGTCTCTGTGGTGGCTCCTGCTGTCTCTGTGGTGGCTCCTGCTGTCTCTGTGGTGGCTCCTGCTCTCTCTGTGGTGGCTCCTGCTGTCTCTGTGGTGGCACTTGCTGTCTCGGTTGATACTCCTCTCTGCTCACTCGAAGCATCGCTCGGTTCGATTGAGGGACCTACCTGCTCAGCTGAGGACGCGTCCTGGTTGGGCCTGGAGCCAGAGGAAGTAGCTTCTTCATTCCCCGTTGCAGAGGCGTACCAGGATGTCAAGATGGGTTCGGAGGAGCAGCAAGGTGTGAAGATGGGTGAAGTGGCGAGCAGCAGGTGGTGCAGCATGAGTCGGAGTGAGAGCAGCTGCAGCAGCCACAGTGCGTGTCTCATTGACCTCCCCTGGGATAGCTGCTCCTCCTCATCTGCTGATAGCCTCTGCAGTACACTTGCTGAAATGATACCGGAGGCAACTGGTGTGAAAAGGGGGATTGGCCGAAGCATTTGCAGCACTGGGAAACGATGGATTCTGGAGGGGAAAGGATGTGGGAAGGCTGAGGAAGAATCCACTTTCTCAAACCAGCTGTATGGGGATGATGATGAAGATGACCAGGATGGTGAAGACTACAGCAGCAGAAGAGGCTACACGCTGCATGGGACGGGTAATGTGTGCTACATGAATCAATTGTACATGGATGAGGAGGATGAGGAGGAGAGGAGATCCCTGGCGGCATCTGGCATCTCGGTCGGCATTGGGAGGTTTGGAGCCAGGCGGAGAATAACGGGTTCTAGCAGCCGGGTTACTCTCCGTAGAATGAGTAGTGTGCTGAGGCAAAGTTAGTTACCGTAAGACGTTCTAGCTGGAACCAGAGTAACTGGTCTGCCAGGTTTTGTAAATTATTAGCAATGCTTGCTTTTGTTTCCTGAGAGCACTCGTTTCAACACCACTTAAAGTACCTAAGGCTTGTGACAGGTTATATCCTTGTACATGTTGCAGGCACCTGTACTACCAAATCTGTATTAGTACCAGTCTGCAAACTGAGTGTCATGGCACCGCCATTAGGTACTTCCATTGTCGAAACTGAACCACCATTCCATGAAATTTGCCATGCACCATCAGTGCTCTGAGTGACCATAATCCATCCTCAGTGTATGTAGTTTACAAAAGCTAGTGCATACAGTCGTGTGACATGTTATCGAGAATTAGAGACTCCAGAAGAGCTACGGAAGTCCCTATCGGTCTGGAGACGTTGTATGGATGAGGTGTGCGGGTGCGTGGGTGGGCCTCATCGGAACTTGATGGAAATGAGGGGCACATCCACATCCTCCCCATCCTCATCCTCACACGCCACCACCACGTCAAAGTGGCGGCGGTACGCAGGCACTTCCAGCTTAGCCACCTCCTTGGCAATGTCCAGCACCTTGCGAGGCAGGCGCTCCTTGTGGCGGGGGAAGAGCGAGTTGAACAGCAGGGCCTGGCCGCAGGAAATGCTGGCATGGGAGGAGAACAGGAGAAAAAGAAGCAGAAGAGGGAGACGGGAGATGGGATGTCCAGCACCTGGCGGGAGAGGCGCTCTTAGTAACCCAGGAAGAGGGAAGGATTTGAGCAGCACAGCCTGGCTGCACGATATGCTGTTTTGGTGATGGCCTGGAACCAGTCGATCAGCTCCTGCATCATCACACCCCCCTCCACCGTCCATCAGTCCCTCCCCTACACCGTCCATCTATCTACCTCCATCATCATACCTGCATGACTCCCCCATAAAAAAGCCTTGAGCCCTTTCGCCTGGAACCAGTCGATCAGCCCCTGCATCATGCATCGCCCTGCACTGTCCACCTATCTACCTCTATCATGCCTCTGTGATATTTCTATTCTCCCTTACCCCTCACCTGTACGCCTCGAGCCTCTTGGCCTGGAACCAGTCGATCAGCCCCTTGCATCCTCACATTCCCCCCCAACCTACATGCATTGACACCCCCTCACCTGTACACCTCGAGCCCCTTGGCCTGGAACCAGTCGATGAGCTCTAGCATGGTGACGTCGCCCTCCACCGTCCACTGGTCCCACACCGTATACTAGTGTGCCCTCATCATGCACAAGGTCACAACGCTGCCAAGCCCCTTACCTGTATGCTTCAAGCCCCTTGGCCTGGAACCAGTCAATCAGCTCCTGCATGGTGACGTCGCCCTCCACCGTCCACCGGTCCCACACAGTCCAGGTGAGCTCCTTGTGCTTCACGCTCTTGGGCGGCACCGGCTCCGCCATGGAGAAGAGCGGGAGGGCGAGGTTGGCAAAGGTGTTGCGCAAAGCAGGGGCCTTGGCGCCCTGCAGCACCTTGTAGAGCTCCAGACACACGAGGCCTGGGGGAGGGCAGGGGACGGGGGAAGGGGGATGGAGGGTGTGGGAAAAGTGTCAAGGAAAGGGAAAAGGAGTCCCACACAATCCAGGTGAGCTCCTTGTGCTTCACGCTCTTGGGGAGGACTGGCTCCGCCATCGACAAGAGGGGGGGGGCGAGGTCGGCGAATGTGTTGCGGAGAGCTGGCACCTTGGCGCCCTGCAGCACCTTGTAGAGCTCCAGACAGACCAGGTCTGCACGGGGAGGAGGGCGATGAGGAGAAACGGGGTAGGGGAAAGGGGAAAGGGGAAGACTGTGAAGGAGTGTGAGGGGTGTCCCACACGGTCCAATGTTGCACAGAGAAGGGGCCTTGGCTCCCTGGAGCTCCTTGTAGAGCTCCAGACACACCAGGCTTGACAAGTGTGAAAGAAAGGGGGCGAGGGGGAGGGGGGAAGAGGAGGATGGGGGGAAGCGCCAGGTGGGCAAAGGTGTTGCGTTGCGCAGTGACACACGCAGCACTGCACATGCCAAACCGTTCTCTCACCTGTGGCAAGAGCCGTGGTGGTGGCGATGGCCGGGATGATGCGCCCAGCAATGAACTTGGCCTTGAGCTTGTCCACCTCGCCAATCGTGTAGTTGCGCGCACGCAGGTTGGCGAGGCTGGCAATGAGGTCCATGTGGTAATTGGTGTCGTCGTCCTGGGTGAGAGGGAAGGGAAAGTGGAAGACGGGGCGTATTCACGGATATTGTGTAGTTACGTGCATGCAGGTTGGCCAGGCTAGCGATGCAGTCCATGTGGTAATTGATGTCGTCGTCCTGAGTAAGGGGGAAGGGAAAGGGAAAAAAAAGGGGGCATATTCAGGGATATTGTATAGTTGCACGCACAGTAGGTTGGCGAGGCTGGCAATGAGATCCATGTGGTGGTTGGTGACGTCATTCTGCGATAGAGGGATGGGGCAAGGCAGAAGACAGACTTGGGAGGAGGGAGGGAAACGCGCACGGGGGGTGAAGACTTAGCCTTGAGTTTGCCCGTCTCGCTAGTTGTGCTGCAAGTTGGCGAGACTGGCTAAGAGATCCATATGGAGAGAGAGGAGGGCAGAGGGGCAGGGAGCAGGGGGGAGAAGAGGCAACAGAAGCATGGAGAGGCGGCAGAAAAGAGTGGAACGAATGATGTGGGAAGAGGAACAGGAGAAAGAGCAGAGCGTTGGCACTGTCTTCCGTGAACTTTCCAGCGCCAGCGGTCCTCCTGCACCTCCCTCTCCCCGGAACCCTTTTCCCGCTCTTCCCTGCCTCCTCTCCCGCCCCCCTCCACCTCAACTTCTCCCTGCTGCTTCCTCCTCTTCCACCTGATGCCAAAAGCATCGTCATAGACCGATGGACACCACCAGCCATCATCCGTGACACCACAGCCATGCCGTGAATAAATGACTCGCATCCTCGCTTTCTCAAGCCACCCTCTAAGATTCCCCCCAAAAGCCCCTTGCTGCCTTGCTCCAGCCTCCCCAATGAGCTGCTATCGCCCTGCTGTGAATGCTGACTGATTGAGTCGACTGGAAAAAGCCCTTGCCTTCTCAAACCGCATAGCCACATCTAAAACCCCTTCAACAGCCCTTTGCTGCCTTGCTACTGCCTCCCCACCAAGTCCGCTATCACCAGGCTGTGAATGCTGATTGAGTCGACTGCAAAAAATCAAGTGAAAACCCCTGTAACAGCCCCTTGCTGCCGTCCGTCAGTGCCTCCTCACATGTGATAGAAGCTTAGTTTTGAGACGCCTAAAAACCAAACTTCTACCAGTTGGACAGCCCCTTGCTGCCGTCCTCCAGTGTCTCCGCTCTAATGCCTGCCACTAGCGCAAGCTGCACCCCAACAGGGGCCTCACCGGTTCAACAAAGGCCTCACCGGTTCAGCAAAGGCCTCACCTCTTCAAACTGCATGGGCACCAAGCGGAACTCCTTGCCCAGCCCCTGGCTGGCGTCCTTCAGCCTGCCCACCAGGTCTGCTATGCGCGTGATAGGAGTCTAGTTTTGGGGCGCCTCAACACTAGACTCCTTCAGCCTGCCCACCGCGTCTGCTATCGCCTTGCCGTCAATCAATGGCTCCAGGGCAGCACTCGCCACTCCAAAACCCAATCTCACCTTCTCAAACTGCACTGGCACCATGCGGAACTCCTTTGAAAGCCCCTTGCTGCCGTCCTTGAGCCTTCCCACCAGGTCTGCAATCGCCTTGCCGTCGTCCCCCACCGACGTGGCAGCACTGGTGGCCTTCTCGTCGGTCACGATCTTGACACCCTGGTGGGGAAAACAAGCAGGGTGGACGGAGAGGGAGGAGAGGGGAATACAAGAGGTGTGTCAGCATCTGGCATTTGAGTCGACTCAAAAGTCATCTGGCATCGCCTTGGCATCGTCCCCCACAGACGTTGCTGCACTGGTGGCCTTCTCGTCCGTCACAATCTTCAGCCCCTGGTAAGGAAAACAAGGAGGGTAGGAGTGGCGGCAGGAGAGGGCGGAACAGAAGGTGCCGCAGCATCTGCAATCGCCTTGCCGTTGTCCCCCAATGGCGTCGCTGCGCTGGTGGCCTTCTCGTCCGTCACTATCTTGACACCCTGGTGAAGGAGTGAGGAAGGGGGGAAAGAGGAAAAGGAGGAGAAGGATGACGGGGTGCGCCACAAGCTGCCATCGCATTGTTCTCATCCTCCTCATCCCTCACCCGAGTTGCGCACTATTTGCTGCCCTCTCATCCCTTACCTTCTCCATACCGTCTCACCTGCTTCGGCACAAACCCTTCAACTGCCACTTTAGCAACTGCCTCCGCCACCTTCCCATCCCTCTCACACGCCTCAAGATTCTTTTCGCTTCTCACCTCCCTTCCTCTCCATACTCCCCCACCTCTACCCACATCTACCCACCCCTCCCATCCTCTCACCTGCTTTGGAACAAACTCCTCCACCGCCACCTTGGCAACTGCCTCTGCCATCTTCTTCCCATCCCTTGCCCAATCCGGCGCCTCAATCCCGAACGTGGTGGCCCGTAGGATCGCGCCAGCTGTCACGAACGCCAGGCACGTGGGGTCGTCTGGGGTGAAAACGACAGCGGAGGGGAAGCGCTTGGGCGGCGACCAGAAAGGGAGGCCGGTGCTGGTGGAGGCGTCTTCGGGGAAGGTGTATGTGAGCTGCTTGATGCGGTTGGCGAAGTAGTCCTCGAACCTGGAAAGGGCCAGGGGTGGAGGGGGGGGGGAGGATGGACACACAATCATAAAACCCCTTTGCTCTCTCTCTCTCTCTCTCTCTCACGAGTCACGACGCACTCCACCACCCGCTCCAGCACCTCCCTCGCTGCAGCATCCCTGCACCCATCATCTCCTAAACCACCACACAAACCCTAGACCCGAAACCGCCAACCCCAATTGCAACCCCAAACCCCAAACTCCAACCGCCACTCACTTGCGCCGGGCCCACGACACACAATCCTGGAAGCTCGTCGCGCGCTCGGTGATGAGGCACTCCACGACGCGCTCCAGTGCCTCCCTGGCAGCCGCATCCCCCGCGCCCATCATCTCCTCGCAGTACTTCTCCGGCGCACTCAGGAAGGCATTCGCTTCACTGGGCGTCCGCTCCAGCAGCC